ACTGAATTACTTAAATCGTTAGTTATATAAAGAAAATATTAAACTTTATGCAAATAGAAATAGCCAAACTAGCAGGGATGTGGCACCATGGATGAGAGAAATCCAAATTGAACAAAAATCTTTAAAACATGAACCATAAGCTTCGATTTTGATGGGATAAACACCCACAAAGTGCCGAGCACTTAAAATCTCTTCAAAAAACTGAACCTTCAAAGCCGAGCTACCAAAGCATGGAATAAGAAGATATCATTTACGGGGCTCACAAAATAACTACAAACTTTGAAGCTTGATAACTGATTTCTTCGTAATATGTAATATTATTTTATTAGAGAATTCCATCTTGAAAACCCACAAAAGGTTTAAGTGGCTGAATAAATACTTTACTTATTCTCAGAATGCTCGTGCATCAAAAATTCCTCTAATCGGCCATGTGTAATGCTGTTTTTTTTTTTCTTCGATTGTATAATGAGAGAACTCTTTTTCATTCTTTAACTCACTCTAGTCATATGTCATATGACTCAAATTTAAGATTTTTTATTTTTACTGTAAAAAAATTATCACTAAATTATTTAGTTAATAATTACATAATGCTATTATCCACACATTTTAAGCAAAAGCTTACTTTTAGCCTCTTACCTTACTAAGTTTGAAGGTTTTAGCCCCTTATCTTATACTATAATACTTTTAACCCCTCACCTTACTAGATTTGTGAGTTTTAGCCTATCACCTTATACTATAACACTTTTAGCCCCTCACTTATTAAAATTGAAAAAAACAGCTCTCACCTTGTAACATTTTGTTAGTTCTGTTAGCTGATTGTTAGTTGATTGTTAACTTTATTAGCTGACTGTTAGTTGAAAAAAATCCTTTTTTAGTTAATAGACTTAATAGAATTAACTTTATAATATTTTTTTCATTCTGTTAACTGACTATTAGTTGACTGTTAGTTGATAAAAATTTGCTTTTAGCTAACGAGGTTAACAGTCAGTATAAAATAATGGTTATTTTTTTCGATTTTAATATGTAAGGGGCTAAAACCTATAAATCTAGTAAGTTGAGGGGTTAAATGTGTTCTGGTAAAAGGTGAGGGGTTAAAAAACTTTCAAACTTGGTAAGGTGAGGGGTTAAAAGTAAGTTTTTGCCCACATTTTAAGGAACAAGCAAAGGTATTAGAAAATTGCCAATTAATGCTACTCGTAAATATAGTTTAAACTAATAGATAGGCATGGTTTAAAGAGACTAATTAGGATCATATCCATGTATGGATTAAAATCAAGATGAGGCACTCTAATTAAGATTTAAAAGCCAGATACATTGATTTTTATTAATTTGGAGTACATCCACCGATAAACAAGTGCTATCTTGTAAGCCACATTTAAGGTTTAAGTCTTTAGAATTACCACCTAAGAAATTAATTTCCTTGCATGCATCAACCCGAGGCAGGAGTTGCACCCTTAAGATTGCATGAGGAATTAGTTTTGAGTTGTGCAAAAGTTGGCTCAAAGACACCCTAACTGTAATTACCAAAAAAAAAAAAAAAAAAAACCTTGGAAACAAGGACACTTTAACTATAAATACCAAAAAAATTTTCTTGAGAACAAGACACCCTACCTGTAAATTTTTCTTTTCCCTGTTTGCAAGAAAGGTGAAGGAACTTAATTGCACAATTTATCTGGTCCCTTGTTCCTATATATCTATCCATATAACTTTCGATTACCCCTGCACATAACTTTAGCTGTTGCTTGTATATAGCACATAAATGATGGTTGAATTTTTTTTTTTTCTTTCAATGCGTAGTTCTTGTTAAATAGTTTGTTGTTATCTAACAAAATTTTCAATTGTCATTTATATACTATATAAAAGCATCACCTAAAGTTAAGTGTAGAGTTAGGTGAAAGTTAGTTATATGGACAAATGAATAGGAACGGAGGGAGTAGTACTTTAATCGTTCAGTAAAGAGAAGAAAACAATACTTGTTTTGCTAAATTCTGCAGATCACTAATGGCAGCCTGCCTACTTGTTCTTAATGGTTACAAAAATGTCTTCCACCTAGAAGGTGGCTTATATACATTGTTCAAATAGGGACTGACAACAGTATCTGAAGTGACATGCACAGATGGAGCTTGTGGAGAAGCTCAAGTTCTGACCCCATTGAGAATGTTAATGTATATGAAGCAACTAATTTTTTTGAGTAGACTTCATATGTGGTTTGATTCAAGATTGAAATATGAATCTTTTGATCAAATAAGAAGTCTTAATCTTATAAGTCCTCTGAAAAGCTTTCTTGATAAATATTTTCATCTTGAACTTGAACATATATAATAGCTGGAAGATGTTGGTAATTGATCGTAAGAATTCAAGAATCCACTGCTACAAATACCAACACTTAAAAAATTGAAACTAAAATAACATTTCAGACCAATTGATTTGTATCATTTTTTCTAACAGCACAATTGGACTGTCTCTAAGATTATGCAACAGCAGAAGTGCATATACCTACCTAGAACTTAATTAATGTATGAGGTGTTAAATGCCTAATATTGGCGGAACATACAAGGGCATAAAAAATGGTAACAAAATCAGTGAAATTATAAAGAGTACCTTTTCAAGATGATAAATAGTTTTTGTGGCTGACTCGGTTCCCCAAGATTATTAATTGATGCTACCTCATTTATCATTTCCTGAATCAAAGAGCATACTAAATATTGCTCCCATTGTGGCATTTAACTGGGTTATGCACTTTATGCCTTCAAAGAAGCTCTTGCCATAGCAAGAGCACCCTCATAACTTTTATTTCCACCAATAAATCCACTCATGTGGACAAAAACACAACCAAGGATTCCTGCCACCTCAGAGAGTTCTTCACCTTCCAAACCCCTCCAAGGAAGTGGTAGGGGTTTCCTGCCCTCAAACTTGTCAGGTGAAACAGCCACTGCTTGAAGTCGCCAGTTTTTACTCCTATCATCTTGCAAATAAGACAAATATTTTCAAATGAGCTTTTATGAACTAATCTATTGAAAGGCATGACAATTTAGAGCTCCAAGTATAATATTCAGCATTTCGTATGATCAGAAACAATATTGGTACCTGGTAAACAACATATTTGATAGAAGGATTAATCTTCATATCTTCCTCAAGCTCAAATATGTGCAACTTCCACTATCACAAAATCAAAAGCCATTAAGCTTCCAAGTAACCTTAAGGACATTATCAAATAGTCAAATACTCATTGTTGTATTGATGCCCACATGTTTACTACTTGCTAAGCAGAGAATATGGTGATAACTTACAAGACAAGATCTAGTCAGCACCATAATTTCTCCGCTAGGATCAATATCTTCTCTTGTAGAAAGACACTCTATCACAATTGACCGAGTTGGTAGCCAAGATTTTGCATGAAAATAGATACTTTGTTACAAAGCAACGTCATTTTCATAAGCATGATGAAGCAAAACCCCATCAACAATCAACTCTTTTCAAAAGATTCCAAAATAAGCATGCTCTATAAATAGCATCCAGTCATTTAATAAGCAATTGATGAAAGCATAAGGCCTCAAAAAACTACACCTCCAAGAATTCACTACCAGCAAGTGTCATTGCATGCTGAAAGGCTTCATCCTCTTTCTCAGATGACTGATCGGTATCCACCCCATCCAAATTTAATCTTCCTACTCTAGATGGTAAGCTTGTATTATTTACATATCTTGGAGATTCGTCAGTGGCGTATTGATTAATCCCATTGTCAACAGCATCAATTGCCTACTAAAATAAGCACTGTTTTAACATGAAGATCTTCAAGGGTATGCAACATAATGTAAAAACACAATGGAGAGTATTCAAAAATGAAATGGAACAGGGGGATATTACATTAAGAAGATATACAAAACAGTATAAAGTAAAATTCAAGAATATGAATAACTTGAATTCTTTAGATGCAATTAATTAAAAGGGCAGAGAATACTGTGGAGAAAGTATGAGTGCCTACCTCCATGAAGCTTTATATACTGCTAGGAACAACCTATTCACATTTGGGTGTCCTTGATCAAGCTGAAGCTCCTTTGCAATTATCTCTACCCCATAATGCTAAAGAACAAAAATTTCATAAAAATGCATATAAAAAGCAAGCTTGGAATCTTCATTAGCTCACTGAAACCATTAATATTACCTTATACACAAGGCCAGCACTGCTGAGCTTTGTGGTGAACCCATGACCAAAAATCTCCTCGAATTCCTTATGGTGATGATCGTAAAGATCTCGAGAGGGGTCATATACAGACCCAACATCAACCACGGCGTCAAGCGCTTCCAATACCTCTAGACATTCAGGTTCAAAAGCATTTCACAATTCACAGAAAACATTATATTAAAAATGGGACGAGATAAAGGAATGAAAAACCCACCAGAGGGTCTTTGGTGTGGACAATCTGAGCGCCGTAGAATTTGTTGGTGAGGCAAATCATGAAGCAGGCAAGAGCCTCGTCGCAGTCGAAACTGCCGTTGTGAGTGCCCACTCGCTTTGTTCTAGCCGTTGAGAACCCACATGCCATACAGCTGTGGAGAGAAGATTTCGCCGATGTTGTTGCTAAGACACCATTCCTGGCTGCAAGTAAAGTTTGTTGATGGGAAAGGAAGAACTTATGCATACTGTCGTGCAGCGCATACATGTTATGTTGCCTATCTGCTCTGCTTTCCAAGTCGAAGACTCCCCGTCGGGCGGCTTTTAGGAAGGAGGGTCGTTAAATATTTCACGGAGAGAAACGACGCCGTTTAGAGGGGCAATTACTAAGTTAAAATTTATTATAAAAATTAAAATTTAGGTTAAACCCCCTTTTTGGTCCCTCAACTATTGTACTAACCTCCGATTAAGTCCCTGAACTAAAAAAATCCTTGATTTGGTCCCTACTGCTTACCATTTTTACCTAAATTTGGTCCTTCGGTTAATATTTTAACATTAATTAACGAAAAAAACATAAAAATTGACAGGTTGGCAAAAATAAAAGACAGGTTAGCAAAAGTAAATGACATGGCATTCCAACTCATCCCACCCAAAAAAAAAAATCCTTTT